AGAGCAGTCCACAGGAGAACTGGAACATCTTAGCTATCTACAAAGTGCAAACGTCATGTACATACACTAATCTGAGTCAATGCTCCCAACATAGAAAGGAAGTATCTGTCAGCATGGAAAATTCCAGTTCTTGCATCTGGATAAGAATGATGTTTATAGCTTTTGAACACAGTGCTGATATTTCTCTAGCAAAAGGCACTTGGCTTTAGAATTTGTTTCTCTCAGGTGAGAAGGATTAACTATGTTTGGTTAGAACACACATTTGGAGAAGCCAGTGTTTTCCAAGAGGACTGGAATTTTTTCCCAAGCTAGTATCTAAGGGCTTCTCATGTTGGTGATGCCTCCCAGACTCAGCTGCTTTCTGCAAATCTCTGCTACTCACCCTCTGAAACCAGAGAGAGAGAGCGGGGGAGGGGAGAGACTAAAGCATCAAATAAATATAACCAACTATTTGTCTAGGTCAAGGTTGGAAGAGGAGAAAAAGGATATTTTAATGAAGACTTTTAACTCAAGATTCCAGGCCTACCCTTGACCTGCTTAGCAGCTGGAGGATGCTCAGGAACCTAGCTTTCCAAATGCTTTTCCAGAACAAATAAGTCAGGTTTCATCTTCTCACGGAATAGTATTCTCAGCAGACAAAAGCTGACTGAGTTGGAGACATTCTTCAGGATGCCTCTCTCAGGAACATAATCCCTAAACCAAACACTTCTCTCTGATATGAGCCTCTCCAGAGAGTTGCAAAGATGCTGGAGAAAGAGAGCCCAGACTCCTTCCAAGGTCACTTAGGATACTGGGCAAAGTCAGCCACATAGAAAATCTAAGCTCCCCTCTGCTGACTGGGTCAGTATACTTTCCCCACAATGCTCCATACAAATGATGCAAACCCATGTCAAGACGGCTGCCATAGAGTCAAGAAGCGATTTCTCCGACTGTAGATGAAACTGGTATACACAATATCCACTTGTGGTGGGTTTGCTTATCATGGAACAAGAGTTACCCTCTCATCCAGGGCTGAGAGTATTCCTGGGTTAGGAGCAGGGGCAAATGTTCTCAGCATTTAAAGATTTTTCTACATTTGTTTATTTTGGTATGTGCATGCATATGTATATTCCATGGCACAAGAGTGGAGGTCAGAGCATAACTTTCAGGAGCTGGTACTTCCCTTCTACCATGTGGGTTCCAGGGATCAAATTCAGGTGAGCAGGCTTGCCAGCAGCAGGTGCTTTTGCCAGGGGAGCCATCTCTAGGGTCCTGTTCTCATCCTTTGAATCTGTCTTTGCCTAAAGCCTCAAAGTAGAAAAAAAGGTTCTTTACAGCTTCTATTCTCTCTGTAGTAAGCCCCCAATTACCCCAGGTTGCCTGCTTCTTCGCAGGCAGTCATTTGAAAGAGGCATGTCTGAATTAAGTGGGGATTCTTTTCTTAATGTAGTTGTCCTTTATGGGTCCTGGCCAACAGCAAATAGGCAGGCTAGCTGGCCATTACTGTCAACTCTGTACTGAAAGGTGAAGTCCCACAGAGCTACAAAAGACTGCCCTCTTCATCTATGAAACTAATGATTTTGGTGCTGAGCAGAATGAGAGCATACACTGCACCACCTGGGAAAAGCTTTGTGGTCTTCAAAGATGCAGACTTGAAGAAGAAAACACTGGGTTCAAATATTTTGACAAAAGCATGCCATTTTCTAAGTGCTTGTTACTGGCTTAGCACTGCTTGGGCTGAACACCTAGCAGAAGCAAATTGAGGACAGTCATATTTATTTCAGCTCATGATTTTACAGTGCTCAGTCCATGGTTACTTGACTTCCCATGTCTGCAGGAAAAGTGAGGCAAGCACACGCTGGTGTTAGAAGCACATGGCAGAAACTGTTTCCATCATTGGAGAGAGGAAATGGGAGAGGAGAGTCTATCGCATGGTGGGCTTTCTGCTCTTCCAACACCTGGTCCCATGGGATCACACTGCCCACAGTTAGCTTCTCTCCGTAGCTAGCCTTCTTTGATGACTCCCTGAGAAAACCCAATTCCTCCTAGCCAAGTTGACCATGACCATGAGGCATCACAGTGATAAACAGCCAACTCGTATCTCTATTAAGCAAAAGAAGAGTTCAATGAGGCCAACTGAGCTGCTTCTTTATTGGTACTACTGTACTACTTAGTGGGTGGGAATTTATGTGCTACCCATGTGGGGAAACTGGCAGCTGCTGCCACAATCTGGTGATAGACCTGGTGACTTCCAGTTTCCTCCATGGGTTCATGTCAAAATTGCTGTTCAAGTCTTTTCATGCTGTCATCAACATCCAATTCCCACAGCACGGGTTGTCAGGCAAACCTGATGCTCAATTCAAGGACAGATCTGAGGGAGGAGAATCAAGACTTTGGGTTTCATGTGTTGAGAACCAAATAGAACCAACTGACAATTTCAAAGGATTTTCATGAGCTGTTTGACAATGGGTAAGTTGAAACTGGCCACCATGAGCATATTTTCTCCATGGAAACCTGCAAGTGCTATCCATGAGAGCTCCCTTTCCACTCTCAAGGCCAATGGTATTCCACTGTTCAGAGAGGAGAAAGGACAACAGTGGAGAGGTTCCACCTTGCAACATTTGCACCAACTCCTAAAGAAGATGCAGGAAGAGCCTTTATCAGTCAACAAACAAGAAAGACAGATGTGCTCGCTTTTCATTTTTGGTCTAATCATGCCTTGGTGTGCATCATTTATTTATTTTTATGTAAGCAATTAATGAATAGATAATTTTTGTGAACTACAATATAAATAATACAGCAGTAAATAAGTAAAATTAACACTTCTTTTCATTAACTTGTATTCCCATTTATACTGCACTCCTAAGATAATGACTTGCCATAGTCACACACCCTTTCATTCTCCTTTCTGCATGGTACCCACATAGATGAGCATAAGTGAGTATACATATGTATATGCACTCACACACATATATGTTCACATGTACTCTTCTGTGTTTTATAGTCTTATATTTTTATTAAACTTAGTCTAGTGAAGGCATGTAGTTGGATGTTTTCTGTCTCATCCTCCAGTTCCCAAATAACCACTTAGAGCATTAATATTAGTTATAATTGCAATGGTTCAGGCATATTACAGACTAGCTCTTACAATTAAATTAATCTCTTTTTATTATTTTATATTTTTACCTCAAAGTTCGTGGCTTGTTCCCCTGGTGTTTACTTGGCATCTCTTTGACTCCATCTTCTTTCTTTCTCCATCTCTGTTTGGATTTACTGCCTAGCTATATTCTGTCTTGTCACATGCTAAAACAGCTTTAATTATCAAACAACGGGAGTAACACATATTTACAGCATACAGAAGGAAATCCCACCTCAAAGGCACTTTAAAATACTGTTCAATCCAAGACCACAAAACCTCTTCTGAATCTGTTTTCATTTAAATGACAGTTTTTCTTTCCTTTTTTTATAAAGATACTTGCTTGTTATCTTTAATTGTGTGTACGTGTGTGTGTGTGTGTGTGTGTGTGTGTGTGTATGTAAACACAAATGCAAGTATCTGTAGAGTACCGAAGGATCCCTTGGAGCTGGGGATATAGATTGCTTTGAGTCATGGACATGCATGTTGGGAATCAAACTCTGGTCCTCTATAAGAGCAGGAAGTGATCGCAACTGTCTAGCCAACTCTCCATCCCCAGAAATTATTTCTTTTTATCTCTCTTTATTCTAATACCATTAATGCTTTAGAAGATGCCTGAAAAATTGTAATTTACATTAAACAGGTATTGATATATTTTTGCTTGCATCATAAAATGCCTACCATTAACTTGCTTATAAACCTCCTTATTTTGTTAAGCATAAATTACCTACAAATAACTTGGAGAGAATGTAACAATGGAGATAATGGACTTAATATATAAAAATCAATTATTTTGAAATATCTGGCTACTATCTTATATAAATAGCTCATAAAGTTGGTCTTATGTATTGATGTTTCAGCAAAAACAACCACATATTTGAAATGTGGATTATATTGTTGAAAAATACAATTAACCACCTGGAACAAAATAGGATCATTATTTCATATGGTCCTATTCATGGGGAATATTTTAAAAATTGTGACATGCTATACAAGCAATAGCTACTGGTATCATGAGTATAATATAAATTTTGTTCTCTCCTCTTTGTGTAAATATATTATTAAATGGGCTGGATATCACGAGTTCATTGTTTATACTTTGACACATGTTTCACACAGTTATCTCTATGTAAATGTTTATTCCTAACTTGCTGAGCAACTGTTATGCATTATGCATAAACCTTCATCTTTCCACATTCAAATAATTTAGACTTTCTATATATATATAATTTAAGTATCCTGCATATGAATCACTACTAATGGATTTGAGCTAAGTTCTATTAATTCTCAGATTAGTCATTAGGGAAAGGACTCAATGTGACAAGAACTACACCCTACCCCACCTCCTAAAACTAATAATGCCCAATGCATAGGCATTTGTAGACCCTGCCACATCAGCCTGTTATGGATCTGAATGATCAGGCATTGTGTCAAGATCGATTACTCCTTCAGTGGCCATGGGAAGTCCTCAAGCAAGCAGACATCTTCTATTTCCTCTTAGACTCATCTGTGTTCGGCATAATACAATCTGCTAAGCATTATCAAATAAATAGCTTCGAAATAATGAAAACAATGACCAAGCCATTGCATGGCCTGTGCTTCTTTCAAACATGTAGAGGCACTTGACACTTCTTTTATTCTGAAGGCTATTTCCTAAATGTCCCAATTACCACTGAGCATCTATTTTGCATCAGCATACTGCTGGTGCCATCCACATTTAATCAGCACAGCCACTTTGAAATCTTCAGTAGTACAGGTTTCTCTACCGATCCTACGATCTCAGGAGATGCAAGCTTTGACTCCATACACTGAAGTTTGTGCTGTTTCTCCTTTCTCTAAACAGGCTTAGCCTTTGGTAGCGAGCACTTAGGGGATTCCCAAAATATTTGCAAACATTTCTGTCAGATAGCATCACCGTCACCACATGATTTAAGCAAGCATGTATTCATCATACTTAAACCAGATGTCATCGGAGTAGATGAGAAATGAATCACCCACTCCTGACAGCTTGTTTATTTCTGGCAATACTTTCCAGCAGGGATTGTTGAAATGCATAGCACACTTCCTTCATATCTTGGCGTGCGGTTGAGATTCTAAATGCCACTGGGGGGAAAATGCCTTCCTTCAAAACAAGCTCCATTCTACTCAGAGCAAGGAAAAGGCGGGGGAACAAGGCGGGGCTCAGGGTCTCCTTGTGACATATGAATAACCCGGTTACTGCCAACATTTCCACCTTCAGTCTGAGGGATTATTCCCATTAATTAAAGGTTAGTTCCCACTAACTAAAATGTTCCAGGAACGGTGTTGTTATTTAACTTGTACAGCTTTCTTTTTTGAAAAAAGTATTTATTTTTATTTATGTGTGTGTGTGTGCCCGAACGTCTGTGTGTATACTACAGGAGTGCAGGCACCACTGATATTAGAAGATGATATCAGATCTCCTGGAACTGGAGTTGCATGCAGTTGGGAGTTGTCCAGTGTAGACACTTTACTTCGAGGATATATTGCCTCCTGGTGATTATCTGCTACTAACCAAAGGCCTTTTCCTAAGAGGAGAAGTTAATGCCATGGGGTCCACACAGATTCGGGAAACCACGCTTGAGTTGGGTAAGTGAGACTATCAGAATTTGTTTTTGTGTTTTAGGTTCTGACTGATGTGACTGTAATACTGTTTCAACTTTTGTGGACCAAAATTGAGAGGAAGAGCTAATTGGTGGAATAGACACTGATTGGCACCTACAAAAATCCCATGGGGGAGGTTCACCACAAACAAAAAGAAAGTCTTTATTCTGTGTGCTATCTGGGATCCCCCGTGGGAAAGATTTGGATTTCTGGCAGCCTTAAATATGACAGCAACCTCTTAGTATGTAGACGAGCAAGGTAATTTGGCAGCAAACTCCAGCCTCATGCGCATTAGACTGGTAGATCAGAACTAAATCACAGATGTCACACACACGTTCTCTTAGAAGGCAGAGAATTGATAAGGTGCCAAAGCCCATCACACCCAGGCCATCCCGGTTCCAATTGATAGATCCTCTCATCCTTGAAATTCTGACAAGTGCTATTAGAGATAGAGGCTCTAACTCATATCTCTTCCTGACTCTTTATCCATCTTCCCAAATCATGCCTATCTGAGTCCAGCTCAGACTCATTTAATTATGACATCTGAATCAATACCCCATCCTGGTTCTGCCTGCTCCAGCATGCAGGAGAGTGTCTAATCTCCATGACAGCCTTTCTCAGAAGTTCACCTTCTCATTTGGGAAAAGAAAAGAAAAACACACCACTCCTTATTGCTTCTCCTTATTTATTTTTTAATTTTTGAAACCAGTTGTTACTTACAGGCCTGGAAAGATTTAACATATGCATAGGGAAAATACATTGTATTTTCTGAACTCAGATTCAATTTCTGCCTCTGAAATGTCAAGCTAGAAACTGGAAAATGGAAATGAAGCCAACGGCAATTTAAATAAATTACAAGCTGACAACACTATGCCTCGGTGATGTTTTAAATGAAACATATTAACTGCAGAAGTATCGGGAAACCTTCAAACAGCTGAACAGACTCCATTTTGACACTGTGGTGGGCTTTTCAACATTCGTCTGTATAAGAGCATGGTATGAGGGAAGTTCAGGGAGGAGACTGCATAGGAATAATGAAGCTTACCTTTTTCTGTCGGCTGTCACAAAATGCCATGAAATAAAAATGAAACAATAGAAGTTTCTGCCTTACAGTTCTGGATGATGGGAAGTTAAAGACAAAGAGCTGGCAGGTCATGGTCTTGTGGGGGTCTGCTTGCTGACTCACAGAGAACTATGATTTTGCTGCTGTGCCCTCAAGTGCAGAGTTCTTAGAACTCATCTTGTGTATGTGTGTGTGATGCGTGTATATGATATTGCTCGCTCTCTCTTTCCCCCTGACACGTACACACGTTTGCATGGATTCATGTGATGTATGGTTTGCATGAAGGTTCAGAGTCAATGCTGAGTAAGTATCTTCCTCAATTACGCTACACTCCATTTTAAAAGTATTTATTTACTCTGAGTTCTAGGCATATGTGTGTTATTTATGACAAATGTCTTTTACATGTTCCTAAGACATAGGTCCTCTATAAGACCACATGGCTACAGGACTATACAGGTTCATCCAGTATGCAGCATCTAAGAATCTGAAAGCTGAAAGTCAGTATTCAGTGATAAATTATAGGCCTATGTATGCCAATAATTTATATGTGTACATATCTCTATAGGGTCTGAGTCATAACATATATAGAGGTATAGGCCTCTACACATCTGTGCTGAAAATCAGCCCCAAACATCTTTACTGTTCCATATGGAGTCAGAGAAGTAGTTAAATTTCTTTAATAACATTTCATCTATTTTTTGGAATAAAGATAAACTCTGTATCACGAGCGATACAAGTGATAAGCTCTTCTAGACACACAGAGACTCGGCATCCATGAAACCATCTTATGGACATTTAGAGGAAAGCTGTAGAAAATCGAGACATAGTCTGAGGGACTCCTTTGTATCATGGTGAATTTCTTAAAAAAAAAGCTATTAAAACCTTTTTAATGAAGCCTTGTAAACTAGTAACTGCCAAAAGGAAGGGGAAGGGTGCATTGTGTTTCTGTTAGCTAGCAGTATCAATTTCATCATAGTGCTACACATAGTCTTTAAAGTTATTCTGGTTTTTTGTTTTGTTCTTACTTTTATTTATTTGGGGCATGGTATATTCATGACTCACCATGTATGCGGAAGCCAGAGGACAACTTTCCATGGGTTGTTTCTTTCCTTCCACATGTGTGTCCTGGGGATCAAACTCAGGTCTGTAGTATCAGTGGTAAGTGCCACTGAGCCATCTCACCAGCCCCTAACCTTTTTAAAGTCTGAATTTGTCCCGAAGGAGAAACTGGTGTCATGATTTGTTGACTTGGGGAATGAATCAAGATTGATGTGAGACCAAATATCCTTGTAACAGAAATTGGAGGCCTAACACAGTGGGGACAGATTCAACAAACAACACTATTAACAAGTTATAATTATTACTATCATTGTCCTCTCAAATATCTTGACTAGAATATGCTTTGGTAGGATGCAGGATATGTCCAAATACTGTTTTTTTGCTCAAATTACCATGGCCATCTTAAAGAGGCAAAGAGTATATATATATATATATATATATACATATATATATATATATATGTACACACACAGGCACACACACATGCCTTTCTTCACAAAACACAAAATATCATCAAAATATATGATGCGGTGTTGAGTTTTTTTTAGTTTCTAACTAGGTCCTAGCATCTAGTTTAGGGGTTGCTATCAGAAATGCATTCCTTAATGATCCCAGAACAAAACTTCACATCATTTACTATATGGGAACATAATAATCTTTTACAACTCCTAAAAATATCTTTCAAAACACTTCTTTAAAAGCTCTATACAATTTCCAGCTTATAGTAGAGGGTTGACAAAGGATGGAAAAAGAACTCTACTTTTCTGCTTTTAAACTAATTTCCCATCATTTGCAGATCACTCAACATTCAGGCTTTCACACAAGGAAAGAACTACAGTTATCCAACTCTGGTTCTTAAATCCTTGATTTATTCTGCTCTATCTCAACTTCAAGTATCTTCTAGGACCATGAAAAGGCATTAGCAGACCCTCCTTTCATAACTGATTTGGTTACAAATGTCCTTGGAGTTCCATATAACAAGATGCTTGGGTCAACAGGGCGATATCAGTTAACACAAAAAGTCCCTGGGTTAAGACTGCATTCTCCTGCTGGAGACCACACACAAAAAAAATCAATCTTTAGCATTGTTATGCAGTGTACCCTCATCTCTTGCAAATCGCAACTCAGAAGGGACCAGAACAGAAGAAGGTAACAGGTATTTACCACCAAGTATAGTGGTGTACCCCTAAAAACCTATTGCTCACTAGGCTGAGATAGGAATATTACAAGTTCAAAGGCAATCTGGGCTATGGAGTGAGTCCGTGCCTCAAAACAATAGCAACCAGAAAAATGAGGTTGCTAGTATACTTTGGATGAGCAGAAGCCATTCTGAGCAAACTGGAGTGTTTAATAAATAACACAGCCATCAACTCATCATCCAATTTCTGAGGCTGTTTTCTTATATACAAAGTGATCAATTTCAGAGGATTACCATATATCCCAATAAATAATTGTTTTATAAAAGTTCCTATTATTATATTTTTCTTTTATTTTTGGCATTATTATATAGCTAGACCAGTTATCTTTCCCCTTTCATACTTCCAAACTCTCCCATTCATAAAGTCTCACATGACCTTCAAAGCACGGACAACAATAGACATGCCAAAGCGGACAGCGGAAAAGCCATGAAGTCTCAACCCTACACAGAGAACTACAGACTACTAAGGAATTTTGAGAGTTAGCTCTGTAAGAAATTTTACAAACATGTCCCACAAATGCTCCTACATAAAAAATCTAGTCTACAAAAAAAGATACATTACTTGTCTTTGAAAACCTGAAATGCTGTCAAGTAAAAGATAGACTTACAGTTCCAAAGTATAAGACAAGAATGAACAGATTAAAATTACAGGGACAACGGTTGGCAATGGTGTGCCAGGTTCCTTTCTACTGTTCAGACTCATCCACAAATCAAACAGGATGCATTGTGGAGGAGTGGTTCCTTGTTGCTTTCAATGTTAAAGAAGCAGTTCTAGTTTTTGTGTCTGGGAGGGGACAATAAACTAGACCAGGTATTTCCCAGTTATGGCCTGCAGTATCTAAGGAAAACCTAAAGATGGCTGTGGGAAGTGTTGTAGAACAGGACAGCCTAGGATGCTCATTGGGGCTCTGAGCCCTCATCCCTGACTCAACTGGAGCAGTCTGGCTTCTGCCTGTTGCTGAGTTCCTATTGTCATTGTGTGTGTCTGTGCTGCGCGAGCATGTGTGTACGTGTGTGTGCACATGCGTGTGTGCTTGTTTATTTAATGTAAGGGCTCTATATCATTTTAATTTTGACAAAAAATAAGATGGAGAAGTTCTACTAAGCAAGTTATTTAAAATCACAGATATCAAATCTTCCTTTCCTGCCAGGGTTCCACAAGGATGTGATTTGAAGTCTAAAGAGCGATTCACTGTGTGCAACTTCACCTCTACTCAAACGCCCCTGCAGCCAACTTGAAAATCATTCCTGATATGTCATGTGTCCGTCTCCTTTCCACTACTTTCGGGTCTGCTAATTTTCTTTTCCACATGTAACAACAGAAGTCAGTCCAGGGATTTAAGATATCAAACACTTGATTAAGAAAATAAGCCATTAGGAATACAGCAAGTTTTGTGCAAAATATAGTTCAGAAAATCAGTATGGGTGACTATGTTTTACTGATATTTTTAAATATTAAAACTAAGTATTAAAATGAATATTTCCTGTGGACCTTATTTTTATTATATAAAAAATTTGGAATTTCATTAAATGTTCTTTCAAGGAGCCACACAAAGCCGAATATTCTTTATTTTATTGATCCTCTGTCCTGATATAGCACCTATGGTCATATTTTATTTATATATTATGTCCTTAATGTCATTTTGGTCTTATGTGGTCTTAATAATTTTTAGCAAGGTATTTTCGGTTTGTTTGTTTTTTTGGTTTTGTCTTTTGTTTTTTGAGCCAGTGTTTCACTGTGTAGTTCTGGCTGTCCTGATGTTCACCAATATTGAATGTCATTAGAAAAACAGTAAGAATAATTTACACTTAACTCAGTCCCACTAAGATATAAATATGTACTGTCCAAGGGTATCTATCTATATATCCTCCCTTCCTTCTATCTATCATTTTTATTTAAAAGAAAATACAGGTATTATCAAACATGCATGGAAAGCAAAATCCTTGTGTGTTGCTGATGGGAGTGTAAAATGTTGTGACCACTGTAGAAAATGATTGGGCAATCCCTCAAAAGTTCCATGTGGAATTACTATATGACTCACAAATTCTACTCCTCTGTATATATTTAAGAGAATGAAAATCAGGGTCTTAAGTAGACCACCATTACGGCAGTATTAACAATAGCTAAGGTGTAAAAACAACTCAAATGTCCTGCAGTGAATGAGCCTACCAGTGAGTTGCTATTATAGAAAGGTAGTGGTTAATTCAGAGACTCATAATTGGTTCAAGTGCAGGAGCTTGTGACTGTGAGTGCTCAGTCCTAAAGGGGAACTCCCAGAAAAGTGTTGGTGATGTAAGTACTGCACGATAGGGTAGCAGGCTTGTGAGATGTTAGTCTCTGGATATGGCATGATTGCTGCACACATAAACTCACAGTAGCTGTGGTCAAATCTACAAGATCAAGCTACTTAAAAATCTAGCATGGAATAGGGAGGGAATCCTGATGCCCCTACCCATAGTTAAGGAGCTATTAGTAGCTGATGGCTGCTGAAGTAAGGCTAGTCACCGTTCTTTGGGTCGAGGGCTAGTCATTGGTTGGTTGCCAGTGTCCCCATGGATGACACAACACCCATGCATATTAGCAGCACTAACAGGATTTGGCTGATTATTTAAAAGAGAGAGGTTGTAAAGTTGGGAGGGAGACATGTTGTAGGAGGTGCAGGGGGCACTGGAGGGATGAGGGAAGGAATAGGGGGTAGTCATGACCAAAATACACTGTATATGCATATGCAGATTTAAAAAATAAAAGTCTTACTGGGTAGTGGTGGTGCATGTTTTTTATCCCAGCACTTGGGAGGCAGAGGCAGGCGAATCTCTAAGAGTTTGGGGCCAGCCTGGTCTACAAAGTGAGTTCCAGGACAGCTAAGGATATACAGAGAAACCCTGTCTCCAAAAATCAAAATATTAATAATAATAAAGTCTATACTGAAGGCAAAAGTTTGGTAAATGCTCACCTAATTATTTAAAAACCCTTCTATGCAAAAAAAAGAAATAGAGAATTTAGCCATGTAAGGAGTAAAGTAGCAACTCATTCTATAACATGATGCTAGGTTAAATAAAACAAACAAAAAACCCCACATACCCTATCAAAAAACAAACAAAAACCATAAAAAATATATTGAAAAAATGTAGAATTGGTACAAACAGGAATTGTGGTGGTGGTTGCCAGGGGCTTTGAGCAGGAGGAAGGGTCCCATAACTGGACTAGGCATGGGAACTCTTTTGGGGTGATGAGAAAGTTTTAGAATTAGACAGAGGTAGGAGGTATATAACACATAAATGTTTTAACAGTTACTAAACTGTTTATAATGGTTAATTTTCATTAGTGAATTTCATGCCAATTAAAAAGCCATGCAAGGAAATTTAATTTTGTGAATCACTTCTGGGAATAAAATATTAAATAGCCTTTGTGGTCGACCACATACTAAAAGGTAGTTTTATCTTAAATTTAGTATTGAAAAATGTTTTCACCTCAGTTTTCCTGCTCAGAGATGCCTTCTGTAGATTCTTATTTGGTCACCTATATTTTATGAAATATTTCAGACAGTGTTTTGTTGTATATCCCACAGTGCCTTGAACTTGTTATACATCATAGGTCAGTGTTGAATTTATGATTCTTCAGCCAGTTTATGTGATTACAGGAATATACAACCATACCAAGAAGTACTGGCTAGTTTTTAAGTGACATTGTTCAGGTGGATTGCTGTGACCTATCAATGTGTACACACCAATGCCTGCTGTGGAATAATACTTATGAATGCTGTGAAGATCTGTTGCTTGATTGCTGGCTGGCCAATAGCTGAGCAGTATAAAATTAGGCAGAAAAAGACAGACTAACAGAATGCTGGGAGGAAGAAGGGTGGAGTCTGGAGTCACCAGAGGATGAAAAGGAAGCAGGAGATAAATGTGCCATGTTAATAAAGGTGTAGCCATGTGGCAGAACATAAATAAGGTATATGGGTTAACTCAAAATGCAAGAGCTAGTTAGTAATAAGCCTGAGCTATTGCCAAGTGTTTATAATTCATGTATAAGTCTCCATGTTGGTTGGGAGCAGGTGTTCAGGACTGGGAAACTTCCATTTACAAATGTCTCAGCCATTGAGTCAGACATACCTTCTTCTCATCTGTGGTGTCAGCATAGTGAAAGAACCTTCAGTTCACTTTAGAAAACCAGATTCAGCCCAAGAGAAAGGCATTATCCTTCCTTCTCGACCCAATCACCTCTTATATGTTCTGCTTTCCAATGTATCAAATTTTGACCCAAGTTCTAGAAGGGACAAACCATACAGCTGTAGAAAGACTTCTTATTTTTATTTGAAATGACAATGTAAAAATGTAGAAACTCCCTGAATTGACTTAGACTTGTGAGTTACTAAGTAGGAAAGAAAGAGGATGACAAATCTGAATGCACTTTAAACAGAGGAACACAGGAAGTACAGCATGGCTCGACCCCTCAATGGGAGACTCTACTCCAGAGCTGGGACAGCCTTCCATATTTCTTAGACCTCTCAGATCAGGGGCATATGACACATGAAATTCCAGAAGTGGGTCTTGATACACAAGGCAGCAGTTGTTCAATAGCTAATTTAGAGCTAAACACCTTTCCTTCCCAAGCTTGCTGTCATGGGCAAGACAGCGTGCCAGCGATTGCCAGACATAGCTGGAGCCTGCAGTTCCTCTCCCTTTGGTGGTTCAGCAGAACCAGAGTCTGGTGGGTTGTAAAGCCTGGTGCACAGTCTATTCATTTCCATAACCTTTTAATTAAGTTCTTACCTGGAGCTTCTAATTGAATTTTATGTTGCAGAGAGGCAACTTCTCTTGTGCTAATGACCCTGCTTCTGGGTAACACTGGCATCGCCATCCGTGAATGTATACATTTCCAAACAATGTGAGAGAGAAGCCAAATGGCTGGAAGAATTCTGTAGCTCTGCAGAAGTGTGTGTGTGTGTGTGTGTGTGTGTGTGTGTGTGTGTGTGTGTGTGTGTGTGTGTGGGGTCACATTTGTCAACTCGTCACAGCCTGCCTGCCTACCTGTCTCAATGGAAATTGTTTTCTCATTTTCTCTTTAAAATATTTATTGAATACCAAAATTTTCTTTTTTCTTCTATTATTAGGAGAAAACAAACAAAAAATCTCAATCCACAACAAAGACTGTCAATAGAAATATCAGAGAATTTGGGCTCAAACTTCAGGCGGCATTTAGTTTTTCATATTGACAGGCTACATTATCCAAAACAACATGATGGTGTAAGCAGTATTTCAATTCAGTCAGTCTGAATGCAGCCCAGGTCTCTCTCTGTTCTTATCTTTTTTATTAATGCCATGAAAAGAAAGTCATTTTTTGCTTTATTTCAAATTCAACAAACCTCTAATCTAAGGAAAGAGGACACGATCCTCCTTCTCAAACCCAGGGTAGCCTTGTCAGCACACAAGCACCCATCAAAGGCAAGCATGGCTGTAAATAACAATCATTTCCTATTCATGAAAGCTGCCCTTGACAGTCCAAGAAATAACAAATTACACGTGAATAGTTCCCAAGAGCTTTGGAAGCACTTTAACCACCCTGAATCTGTTTTGATGTTGTTTCTTTGCAGGGGGATTATTAGCAGCTTGGAGGAACTAGAGCCCAGTTTGTGATTTCTGGGTGTTCTACCTGAGCTGAGTTGGAGGCAGAAAAATTCACTGTCCTTTATTAATGTCATTCTTCCTGGAAAACTAAGACATTCAAGATATTTGAATGCCATCTGTTCAGAAACACCCTCTCCTTTCTTGATATTTGCACCATAAAAGGGTGATAATGAAATGCATGGCCTGCTTTCAGGATGATGACCTAAAGGCAACTGCAATTCATCCTTTCTTTTGATTCGCAGCTTTTCATTTCCTAGGCCTAATGAGTTCTTACAGTGTTGGTACTGGACGGGGAATACAGAAGTATGGGGTAGAGAATGAGCCTAAGTCTGTTCCAAAGGGCTAGTGATCCCCCAGCCTGTGAGGTAAGGACTGGAGGTAGAGTAGGGAGGTCTCAGCATTTTTCCGAGTTGAAGTTGTCTCCATGGGAAGAGGCCCTTCCTAGTTAGAGAATTCTCTTCTTGGATTCCTAGTACCCACCACTCATACGACAGGGACCATCGCCATCACTTCCAGGCAGGTGCTGTAAAGGATGCTAAAATAAGACTAGATGATAAGGATGGAGCAGGGATTAGTCACGGGAACTGCTCACACAATGCCCAATCAAAGAGCACCCAATTGTGAAGACTCTTGAACTATATAATGAGTTTTCTATTCTGTTTTGATATAATAACAAAGTCCTTAAATGGAATTATACTTAAGACTGAGAAGAGCCAGCTGGTGGTAATGTTGGATAATTCCATCAAGAAATTCAGCTCGCGCTCTAATGTTAAAGTAGATGCTTAGGTGATTTGAT